CAGCAGCAGCAGCTAGTGCGGTAGCAATGGCTACCTCTTCAGCCACTTCTGCTGCTGGTCAGAGTCTAGGTATGCCACCCAACTCGACCAGTTCACAGTCCATTTCCAATACGTCGGGAGTTGGCACTAGTCAGATGGCGGATTCGCAGTTCAACTCGCCACCTCCACGCACCCGGGAGCAGATGGAGCTCCAACAGATAGAGAGGATTCGCTCAAGGCTAGAGGAGGAACTCGGACAGGCTACTAAGAGAGAGAAAGAGAGAGCGAGATTAGAGATAGGAGTGTCAGACTAGAGGGTAGGGAGCCAGACAAGGCTGCGCTAGAGGGGTTAGATGACTCGACCCTTAGCAATAATGAAAAGATTCTGAAGGCGAGCATCCTGTCCATGCACGCATACATGGACAGTAAACTGGATACCATCCAGGACACCTTGGACCACATCCTGAATGCCATGCACAGGCCAGGAATCAGGCCAGCAGTCTTGTCGTCGCTGCCATTCTCAGCGACGACAGGCCCCTACGCTGCTCAGTCCGGACCACCACCAAGTGGTACATCAGCAGCAACCCTATCTCAAACTGTTGATTCTTCATCTTCCGGTCCAGCGACTGGTGCTACACCATAGTCGCCACTTGTCTCGCCACCGGGACAACAATTTCCTTGGTATCCCAAGACCCCCCTGAAACCACCTCCAACCTTGTCAGGAGACAAGAAGGATGAGGCTCTCGACACATGGTTAAGAACGGTGCGAGTGTGGGTGAGGGCAAAGAGGACATTGGTAGAGGAGGAAGTGATTAATGCTGCATCCTACGTAGAGGGTTCAGCAGCTCGTTGGCTTAATGGATTGGTAACTTCAAAGGGGTTCGACAGGAACATGAGTGATTGGGCGCAGACCCACACGTGGAGAGCTTTTATGGACTTAGTGGAGGCTCGATGGCACAACCCTCAGTAGGCACAGATTGCCACTGATGGGCTTCTAAAGTTTGATGCTAGAAAGTACAAGTCGGTGCGAGAACTTACCACAACCGTAGAGTGCCTGATCGTGGTCCCAGGAGTGGAGTACAACCCACAGGTCTTATTGACCATGTTCTTGAGATGTTTTCCCACAGACGTTAAGAACTTACTAGCCAAGGAGGCTCGCCTAGAGTATCACAGCTTTGAGACATTCAGTAAAAAGGCCTTAGACTTAAAGGCTACGCTAGGTGGTGCTCAAACCCCTTCTACGGACGGGAGAAAGAAGAAGACTCCACAAGAATGGAAGAAGAAGGGTAACCGATTGATGATGGTTGATTCTGAAGGGAATGAAACTGAAATCGATGATGTTTCTGAACTTGTGGAGGGTGCAAAGTTAGACGGCGAGGAGAGTGTTGAGGGTAGCAACCTCGCCGCAGTAGTTAAGACTAAGGCAGCAGGCCGCGGCAAGGGCGGTCAGCGAAGGAGTCAGGGGCAGGCCGCTAACCCAAACAAGATAACTGTTTGGGTTAGAGCAAGCTTGGATCAGGAAGTGTGGCGGGATCTTTAGTCGCGAGGTGCTTGCATAAACTATGGCGAGTACGACCATACACAATTTAAATGCAAGAACCCGAAGGTCTCGCAAAAGATCCCTTCTAAGGGTGGGTTTCCTTCTTCTCAGTTTGGGGCCTCTACGAGCTTCAGCTCGGGAAACACATAGGGCCAGTAGAAGATGTAGTTGCTTGTACTCTCGTTGAAGTGGGTGATGTACCCTCCCCGTTTCAAGAGTTGGTCGAAGCTATCGACTCCTTAGTCACCCCGCATACGCATCCGGACCCAACTATACTCTGTACTTTGGATGTGTCTGAAGCCTTAGAGGACCTTCAAGGTGAGTGGTCAGCAATGGACCCTCGTGAGTCCTAGGTGGCACTGAGTATAGGTCCTAGAGGGGAGCACTTCGTTGTGGAAGTTGGTGTGGGGTGGTTGCAAGTGCGGCGCCTTCATAGACATTGGCTCCAAGTCGCGACTGTGTTGACAGACTGTGCCTAAAGGACCGGGTGCAACGCCTTAGTAGACCGGTGGCATCTACTTTGGCCTACAAAGAGCGCAAGATGGTGGAGGACTACGTTAAAGATGTAGTCTGCACTTTCTCCTACCCAAGAGGAGAGAGAAACCATAAGATATCATTCCTGGTGAGCGACGAGTTGCCCTTTGACATGTTGTTGGGCATGTACTACCTCAAGGTTGCCAAGCCCCAGTTTGACAGGGACAAGAAGGTGTTGAAGCACGAGTTACCTAGCGGGAGAACCGTTAGACTGGCTAAGCACAAAGCCAGTAGGTTAATAGACTCCTATGGGTGCTTATGCGCACCAACTTTCTATAATTATTATAAACAGAACCAAGAGGAAGGAATGTACTTAGTCTATGTCTCTGCAAAAGGGGAGGCCGTTAAAACACCCCCAGAGATAGAGACCATCGTCGCTAAGTACCCTGATCTGTTCGAGGAGCCCTCAGGAGTCGTAGACAGGGAGGTTGTCCATGCCATAGAGATCATCCCAGGTAGCAAGACACCAAAAGGGAGAATCTATAGGATGGCTCCGCCCGAGTTGAACGAGCTTCGTCGACAACTGAAAGAGCTCACAAAAAAGGGTTGGATTCGGCCTAGCACTTCCCCCTTTGCCTCACCAGTCCTGTTTGTTCCAAAGAAAGGGGGAACACTAAGGATGTGCATTGATTATAAAGGCCTCAATGCCATCACCGTTAAGAACGCAGAGCCTCTACCAAGCATCGACGACCTATTGGATAGGGTGCAGGGATGTAAGTATTATACAAAGATAGACTTAACATCCGGCTACCATCAGATTGCCATAAGACCAGAGGACCAACACAAAACTGCATTTCAAACCAGGTACGGTCTGTACGAGTTTGAAGTGATGCCCTTTGGCCTTTGCAATGCGCCAGGTACATTCCAACACGCCATGAATAGGATCTTCCATGATTACTTAGATAAGTTCGTTGTCGTGCACCTCGACAATATACCTATCTTTAGTAGAACTGTCGAGGAGCATGCTCAGTATGTAGACAAAGTACTTTCACTCCTCCGGAAACACAAGTACAAGATAAACGCAGAGAAATGCGAGTCCGGTTGCACTCGAATCTTGTACTTGGGTCATGAAGTATCCGTGGATGGAATTAGGCCCGAAGATGAGAAGGTGGTTAGCATTAGGGACTAGCCACGACCCCAGTCTGTGACTGAGGTAAGATCATTTTTGGGAATGTGTGGTTATTACCGCAACTTCGTGAAGAACTATAGCACGATCGCATCCCCCTTGACTGATCTAACTCGACTTGACACACCATGGGGTTGCACATACGAGTGTGAGGCAGCTTTCAAACGTTTGAAGCATGCTCCCACGCACCATGAGGTTCTCATGGTACCCGACCCGCAAAGGCCATTTGTTGTAACTAGTGACGCAAGCCAATACGGCATTGGCGCAGTGCTGGCTCAGCGGGAAGGGAAAAAGTTAAGACCGGTCGAGTACATGAGCAAAAATATGCCATCAAAGAAGTTGGCAAAGTCTACCTACGAGAGGGAACTCTACGCAGGCACTTGTCCACTGGAGGCACTATCTGTTAGGAAGGTTTTTCTATTTGAGAACTGACCATCAGACCCTCAAGTGGATCAAGGCACAACCGGTTCTCTCCGATGCACTCAAACGCTGGATTAAAGTCATAGATGAGTATGACTTCAAACTAGACTATGTGAAGGGAGAGTACAACAACGTTGCAGATGCGTTGTCTAGAAGGGCAGATTACCTAGCTGCGCTGATTTCTGAGTTTGGCCTATCTGAGGACGTGACTCGATCTATGGAGGAAGCCTACAAGGAAGATCCCATCACGATGGACATCATCAACAAACTTCAGGCTAAAGATAAGGCCACCACTGATGAGTTTGTGATGGTGGATGGGTTGCTCTTTCTTGAGAAGGCAGGGTTTAAGAGATTAGTTGTTCCATCTAGGGAAGATTTGCGTAGTTTGTTCTTAGGAAAACGCCATGACACAACGGGACATTTCGGTTATAAGAAGACTAGTGCTAACTTAGTACAACGATTTTGGTGGACTAACATGCTGGACGATGCAAAGAAGTACGTACAGACCTATCAGGTCTGTCAGCGGGACAAGCCGCAGACTCGGGCTCTGCTTGGGTTACTCAAGCCTCTACCCATTCCTGCTGGCCCGGGGCAGAGTATCTCCATGGACTTCATGGACACTCTCGTGACCAGCAAGAATGGCAAGAGGCACATCTTCGTCATAGTGGATAGGTTCACTAAGTACGCTAGACTAATCGCCATGCCAGAGACTGCCAGGACTGAGCACGTCATCAAGTTGTTCATGGACAACTGGGTGCGTGACTTTGGACTTCCAAAAACAATCGTCAGTGATAGAGATGTACGTTTCACAAGCGAGATGTGGAAGAAGGCCGCTGAACAGATGGGCAGCCAGCTTCAGACGACTTCTGGGAATCATCCTGAAGCAAATGGGCAGGCTGAACAGATGAACCGAGTGGTGCAGCATCTGCTGAGGCATTACATCAAGCCCAACCAGGATGACTGGGATGAGAAATTACCTCTCATCGCCAGCCCGTACAACAACGTTGTACACAGCGCCACCGGCGTCAGTCCTAATCAACTGCATCTGGTGTGGAAGCCTAAATCTGCTCTAGACTTCCTCCTGCCTGAAAACCGAACTGCTTCAACTCTTGAAACCATTGAATCTGGTGTCCAGTATGAGAAACTGTTGCAGCAGACTGTCGAACACATCAAGAAATCTCAGGAAGCCATGATTGCTTCTGAGAACAAGCGTCGCCGACAGTCCACATTTCAGGTAGGGGAACGCGTCTGGGTCAAGGCTAGTGAGCTGGGACAGGATTTTGGCATGTCTAGGAAACTAATGCCTCAGTATTTCGGTCCCTGGGAAGTCCTAGACATTGTGGGGAATGATTTGGATGGTCCCTCGTACGTCATTCGTATCCCTGTCACTTGCGCACTTACCCTGTTTTCCACGCCTCCAAGCTTGCACCTTTCGCTGAGACAGCACAGTTCCCATCACGGAGATCTATGCTGCCCCCAACCATGGATGGCCACGTGGACGTCGACGACATCCTGGATCACAGAGACACGCCTGTTCCCAAGCCACCTGGCAGGGGAAGACCTCCCAAACCTGCGAGGGAATACAGAGTACATTTCAGGCATCATATAGATCCGAAGGAAGATCGATGGATTTCAAGGGAGCAACTTGTCAAGACAGCTCCTCAGATCATGGCAGATTATGAGAAGACTAAAGGGGAAGGCACCAACATGAAGCATCTAAGCGGACTCTCGAAGCTAAGGGGGATGGAATGTGAGGAACAAGCCCTCAAGGGGCCCTATCAGACATCACATTGTTCTGGGCTAAAAGGGGAAGGCACGAGCATGAAGCATCTCAGCGGACTCTCAAAGCTAAGGGGGATGGAATGTGAGGAACAAGCCCTCAAGGGGCCCTATCAGACATCACATTGTTCTGGGCTAAGGGCCCCAGCAAGCCAAGTGCCCGCCCTAAGTGAAGGCGGGCCTGAATATTCGTCAAAGGCAAAATTCGACATTTCCATATGTGGGTATTCAGGCTCTCGCAGCACGCCAGTTGGTTGGGAAGACATGTGAGCCTCACATTGCTGCGTCATACAGTTGGCCCATGCCTTGACAGTTGCACCTGGGCACACATACACAAAGCAGGGCCGATACATTGGGAAGCAGGCCTTCGGCCTTTACAAAAAAAGCAGTAGTGCCAACGCACCTGCCGGGGAGCCCTGTACAGATGCAGCAAACAGCCCAAGTTCAGAGACTCAGGCCGTGCCTAACTGCAAAGGGCCCAGGCCCTCAACTGTAGTCTCGGGCCTGGGCGCAGGGTCTGGGACCCAACCGGAAGCTACTGGAAGCTTCCAGCCAGGCCACACGCAGCATCCAGGAGGCTGCCACTTCCACAAAAGGAAGGAGGCAGCCCAGGCCAGGATTCTGGCCAGCGCTGGCAATGCGGAAGTGCTGCTGCACTCTCGCTTGATGCTGCGCTGCTGTCAAGGGGACTGACGGGGCGTGAGAGGTGAAGTGGGGCGCTGCAGGGCAGCTGGGCACAGGCAGCCATAGCCGGGGTGCTGAGCGCCAGGGGGTACAGCGGATGATCAGGTGGTCTTCATGGAAGGAGGCGCTGTGTAGGGTAATCTAGGTCTGATTGAGGGTGACGAGATATGTACCTGGTACATGAAGAGAGTTCGGCGATGGTGTTGGCAGTCATGTACATTGGTCCTCGTCAGTCGAAGTGATCCTGTTGCGTGAACCAGCTGTAGGTAGGATAGTCTGGTAGAGTAGGCTGGGAGCTGAGCGCCAGACAGAGCAGAGCGACTTTGGATACTGTGTTGGTGTGGCCTACGGGCATGAACATTGGCTCATTACTTCATTGTATTGCTCTATATGGATGGTTTTCTCGGTGCATTTGTACTCTCTGCTTGGGACACGACTACTGCGACAGCTGTGTGATTTCGCAACTTGGTTTTATGTATATCGCTCACACTCATATTCCTTGCAAGACAGTGAGACCATCTCCTTTCAACTGACTCGTGACATCTATGGCCATCAAGTGGCATTTCGTTAAAGCTGACAATTTTTTTCCTGTTTAACAAAATTGTTTGTACTTGAAAATGTATGATTTTTGCTGTGTTCGTCCTGACTTGCTTTGTCTTTTGGGACCGTCATGTCTTCGACTCTTTGGTACACACCACCCTAGACACCATGATCCCAAAACACAAAGAAAGTCATGAAAATCACAACAAAAATCTTCCATTTTCAACCACAAATAATTTCACTATAAGAAAGAAAGAAATGTCAGTTTTAACGAAATGGCAGTTCCTCTGCCCTTGAGTTGGAGCTTCTAAAAACGGCTTGGCACCATCTTACCTTTTCTGGCAGCAAATCACGTCAGTATCTTTCTTGAATCTTCATTTCTTGAATCTTCATTATGCAGGCCTCTGTTTATCCAGGTGTTGAACAGATCTTGCATCCGGTGAGCCACTAGAAAATCGCCTGCCTCAATTTTCAGTACCCTTTTCGTTCCTGGACCACAATTAAAATCAGATGCTTACGAATCTAGGATCTGACAGACAGCCAGGGTAATGTAACAACCTCCCAGCTACCTGGCTTACCTCTGAGGTTATTGAATCAGTAGTGTATTGTCAGTAAACTGGCCCTCACTTTTTGGGATAAAGAGAGAAATCAGTCCTATTCACCAAGATCTGACAGCCTGCCAGGTAAATGACATCCGGACATAGCCACCTGGCACACAAGTTAAAAAGTACAGGTGTTTCCTACGGTATGCGACCATCTCAGCAGACAGGACAGGACAGGTTCGAGTGTGGCCTGTGGAAGCACCGCATCAAATTCTTGCAGTTGCAGTCACTGTGCTGAATGGGCATGGCGCAGACTGATGTCACAGGCAACATGGCTCCCACATGTAGGAACAGAGAGGCAAGGTGGCCGCTGCCTGTGTCTTTTTAACGGGGAACGGGGGAATTAAACTCCCACTGAATCCCGTTGAATTTGTAAAAATCCTGTTGAATTCCCATTAAACGTGAAAATGGGCCGCTCACGCGCTTTTCGGAAAAACGGAATTGATGCGCGGGGTCCAGAACACATGGCCCTAGGCAAAAAAAAAAAAAAAAAAAAAACCCTAAAAAAAACAAAAACAAACATTCCCCCAACCTCTAAAGCACCTCTTATACCACAGAATTTGACCAACACCGACCGGCCTGCCACCCACCACTCACCAACCCCCCGGCACCAATCCCCAAACCTACCCGGAAACCCTCTAAGCCATCCGTCCCCACATCCCCCAACCCCCAAGGCCCCAGTTAGTATGTGTGTAGGTGTGCTGTGTGTGCGCGTATGTGTGTGCCTGCGTGTGAGTGTGTGCCTGTGCATGAATATGAATGTATGCGCGTGTGTTTGTATGTGTGTGTGTTTGTATATGTGTGTGTGCGCATGATTGTTGGCATGTGTGTGTGTGTGTGTGTGCATGTGTGTGTGCATGTGTGTGTGTGTGTTCGTGTGTTGTGTCTCTGTCTCTGTGTGTGTGTGCGTGTCTGTTTCTTCTTTTCTTATTTGCTTTTTATGTTTTTTCAACTTTTTTGTTTAAAAAAAAAAAAAAAAAAGTTGCAGCCAGGAGGCTGCGCTTGTGTGGATTCCATTTTTGTCGTTTCATGTTCTTTCCAGGGCTGAACTCCGGGCCGCCTGGCCGGTCATTCCGCCCGGTTGGCCATCGGGCGACCCCAGCGCATCGTCGAGGAGGGGTTTCGTTTTCTTTTTTTCGTCGCCGGGGGCCTTCTCCCCCCCAAAGGAGGCCATGTATCGCCGTCGATCTCCAAGATCGACGGCCCAGATGGGCCACGATTTGAAAACGTTCAAATCGCCCCTACCGGCCCTTTTTTTTTTTCTCCCGCTGCGTCTACCTTCCCGCCTCACTTCGAACCGCCCACCCGCCTCACTTCGAACTGCTGCGTTCGTCGTCGCCTCCGGACCGCGCCCGCCTCACTTCGAGCTGCTGCGTTCGTCATCGCCTTCGGACCGCGAGCCCGCCAGCGCAGTCGACGCCCCCCGAACGCCATCGCGCTGCCCGCCGACGCCCCCCGACGCGCTCCACGGTGAGTGTGTTAGTACGAGAGAGAGAGAGAGAGATGGAGAGAGAGAGAGAGAGAGAGAGAGAGAGAGAGAGAGAGAGAGAGAGAGAGAAAGAAGGGGGGGGCAGAGGGAGAGAGAGAGAGAGAGTTCTTCTTCTTCTTCTTCTTCCTCGCTTTTTCTTCTTCTTCTCCTCCTCCTTCGCTGCTTCTTCTTCTTCGTCTTCTTGTCGCTCTTCCTCTTCCTCTTTGTCCTCGCCTCCTCCTTCGCTTCTTCTTCTTCATCTTCTTCTTCCTCCTCTTCGTCTTCTTCCTCCTCCTCCTCTTCATCTTCTTCTTCCTCCTCCTCTTCTTCTTCTGCTACTTCTTCTTCTTCCTCTTCTACTCCCCCTCCTCCTCTTCTTCTCTTTCTTCTTCTTCTTCTTCTTGCCCCCCCTGGCCGCCATCAGCGACCAGCAGTTCCGATTTTTTTTATTTATTTTTTTTAATCTGCCTCGTGCGCGTGTGTTGGGCTGCGTCTCGTAGACCACCCTTTCTCAGCCCGCGCCCTCCATCTTTTCGCGCCCTCCATTTTTCACCCCCTGCCCATCTTCCACCTTCATCTTCTTCTTCTTCTCGCCCACCCTTTCGCACCCCCCTCCCATCTTTTTCTTCTTCTTCCTCCTCTTCTCCTATTCTTCTTCTTCTTCTTCTTCTTCTTCTTCTGCTTCTTCTTAACCCCCCCGAGACATCCCGCCCACAGCACCCCCCTCCCAACCCCCCCGAGACCCCCCGCTGACATCCTGTCCCCACCACCCACCTCCCAAACCCCCACTCCCCACCCCCCACCCCCAACCACCAACCTCACTTTTTTATTGCAGATTCGGGGTCCTCTAGTGCAGCGCAGCACATCCCCACCTTCAGAAAAAAAAAAAAAAAAAAAAATCCTTGCCTTATTTTTGCGTCGCCCGGTTCACCCGGGCGGACCCCCCCGGGCCCAACCGGCCGGGGTCCGCCCGGCCGGGCGCCGGCCCAGCCCAGGTTCTTTCTATTTTCGGTAAGGTCGTGCAGTACAGCTTCGCTAGGACGGGTTCATTTGGGGTCTCCGACAGCAGAAAATAGGGTCCGGACGCAGTCGTCCCTAAGACCGGTCGTACGGCAGGTTATCTCATCAAGGTCGTTGCAACTTAGTATAGGGCGCCGTCCATTGTTTCCCTTTTGAGGGATAAGAGTTTTTTCCCGTTGAAAACTGGGGGCGGGCGATATGGGTTTGGGCGGGCGATTTGGGTCTGTTTTTTTTTTTTTTCTTTCTTTTTCTCTTCTACTGCATCTTCCCAGACAGTATCGAAGCATTCTGCTGTTTGTTACCAAGTAACGAAATCTAGAACGGACTGCCCTGCCTCGTTGGCAGGGCTAACTAAGACAAGAAAGGAAAAGGACTCCACTCTGACCAAATGTGCAAAATGAGCATGAATCTTCTGGTAG